CTTTTTAATCTTAAAACAATGGTTATTAAATAAGTAAAGAAGTGTTATGCTTAGTAGGGCAGTAGCAGGAAAAACAGGCCTCAGTTTTAGCCACTATTTCAAATCTCAATTCCACTGTTCAACTATGAATCTTCAGCAACGTATATCATTTTGGCGCCGCAGTTTCCTAATCTACAAAATAATTTCATGGTCTCAGAGGAAGATTATGACTCCACAAAAGCAGTGGTAAAACAATTAGCCCAGGGAGGTACAATGTTGATAAATAAAGAAATCTAGGCCTGTGTCAGTATTTCCCTAACTCAAGTCAATCAAGTCTTTGCCATCTTAATTTTAGTACTAAATATAGTGAAACAGTTCAAGTTCTTTATTTAAATAGCATTTCTGTCAAACATTCTAACTTTGTAATACTGTCCACCGTCCCTCTCTCTTTTGTGGTGCTGGAGACTGAATTCAGGGCTTGGGGCAAGCCAAATACTCTTTCACTGAGCTACATCCTAGTCCAAATGTATTGTGTTTCTAACAAAGCTGACCAGTAGCCTGACTTGGGCAAAAGGACCTAAGTTTTCTTGCTAGCACTTAAAAATTTTTTTTTTGACTTAATTACAGAAAGAAAATGAAAATTCACAATTTTTGGTCTTTTTTTTTTTTTTTTTTTTTCAGATAGGGTCTCCCTGTAGCCTCAGCTGGCCTGGAACTCACTATGTGCCACCATGCTCAGCATGAAAATTCATAATTTTCAGAAGTAATTAGCAGTATAGGTTCATAGAGATAATACAAATTCAGTGAATCATAGAGTTGGATGAATTTACCCATCTTCTACAAAATAAGGTTAGTTGTAAACTATTTTATGAGTGTATATATATATATGCACAGGTGGATGGATTTCTGAGAGAGGGTTTTGCTGTGTAGTTCAAGCTGACCTGAACCAAGTAGCCTGGAATGGCCTTAAACTTGTGATCCTCCTTCCTCAGTTTCCCAAGTACTGGGATTACAGGTTTGAGCTATGGCATCTGGCTAAGTTTATTTTAAATGGGTGATTTTTTGCCCACTCTTTCGAATGTATGTATCAAGAAAACAATGATGTTTAATCTTTCTTGGTAATCAGTATCTTTAACACTTCTCATCATTGGGAATGGGGACATAGCTCATCTGGTACAGCACTTGTCTTATATGCATGGGGCCTTAGGTTTGATCTCTAGAACCTCCAAAGAAGAAAGTGTCCATCATCAAAGTCACCATGTTTTAGTTCACACTCTTTTGTCTTCTCTTCGTAAAATACAAAGAACTAAAAGTGATATCACTATGCAGTCCAAGCTGGCCTGGATCTCTATGTAAACTAGACTGGTCTCAAACTCAAAGATCTTTCTATCCCTGGTTCCCAAGTGCTGGGATTAAAGGTGTGTACCACAAGCCGGGCATGGTGGCACATGCCTTCGATCCCAGCATTTGGGAGGCAGAGGTAGGCGGATCTTTGTGAGTTCCAGGCCAGCCTGGTCTACATATGGGTTCCAGGACAGCTGGGGCTACAGGAGACCCTATCTCAAAATAAGAAAAAAAAAAAAAAGTGTGTGCCACCATGCCTGGTTTTTTGTTTGTTTTTTCTTATTGTTGTTGTTTTTACTTTTTTGTCAAAGTTGCCTGTATCCCAGGCTTGCCCTGAACTCAATTATAGCCCTAAGTGGTCTCATACTCACTATGTAGCCAAGGCTGGCCTTGAACTCCTGATCGTCCTGCCTCCACATCCCAAATAATGAGATTACAGGCTCGTGCCATCACGCTTGGCTTTTTTTTGTTTGTTTTTGTTTTTGGTCTTTTAGAGACAGGGTCTCCCTGTCTCCCTGTATCCTCAGCTGGCCTGGAACTCACTATAGACCAGGTTGGCCTGGAACTCACAGAGGTCTGCCTGCCTCTGCCACTCAGTGCTGGGACTAAAGGTGTGCACTACCATTCCAGGCAGCTTCCACTCTTTAAAATGGAGTTACTTTCGGGCTGGAGAGATGGCTCAGCAGTTAAGAACACTGGCTGCACTTGCAGAAGACACAGGTTCGAATCCCAGCACCCACATGGCAGCTAACAACTGTCTGAAACTCCAGTTCCAGGGGATCCGACAGCCTCTCTGTCCTCTGAGAGCATTGCACAACACAAGTGCACTACCTACATGCAGGCAATACACGCATACACAGAAAATAAAAATAATAAAATATATAAAAAAAGAAGAGTTACTTTCACAGCTGTTCCATGTAGGTGCTAATTTCTAACATCCAACAAAATGATTTCAAATCATTAAGTGAAAAAAAAACCTTTTCAGTAAGAAGCTAAGTACAGAGCTCCTAAGACAGAGAAGAACCCTGAAAAATCTCTGCCAAAAGAATCAGGAGGACTCAGCTCCTTTAGGTTCTAAGTAAGACACAAGGAATATAATCACTCCAGTTCAAGTCACAGTGTAAGAGGACAGGGCAATCTCCCTGTTCATCCTATAGATGGAATATGGTCTCTGCCACTGATATCCAAAGAAATGGGAGGAAGAGGAACAACAACAATAAATGAGATAGTTTCAGCCCTTAACCAAAATCTTCTTTCAAGTCCTTGTGACACACTGGTGTTAATGACAGATGTTTTAGATGTTCTAGCCAAATCAAAAAAGAAAACCCTCTTCAGGTCAGAGGACTTCTCTTTTTCATAAACTCAAATTCTTCACACGCTTATCAAAAAAGAATGCTGCAACCCTATGTAAGTCAACACACTTTGATTCTGGTCCAGGCCAAAATCAGAAGATGATAAACATCTTGACATTACTTGCCAAAAGATGCTAAACGAATTCCTATCTTCTCTGTGCTTCTGTCTTCCCTTACAAACAGGGATAAGAATGTCACCACACAGAACTATGATGGAGACTGAGATGAGAGCTGTTACCTGTGTGTGTTGTCCTCACATAAGAGCCAGTGAGTAGCTACTATCAACCAACAGTATCTGATGTCACCACTTTGGAGCTGGGAGAAAGTGACATTTCTTTCATAAAATGATAAAAGTAGGGAAAGCTATAATAAAAACCTTAAAGTCTGAAATAAACTCTCCAAACTATGCTTTTACAACTGGGCATAGTGACTTATGCTTCTAATCCCAGCATTTGGGAGGAGGAGGAAGGATTATTGTGAGTTTGAGGCCAGCTTGTACTATATAGTGAGTTCCAGACCAACTAGTGGGACCCTGTCCAAAAAATAAAGTGAAAAAAAGAAAGTAGTTTCACTATAAATTACACTACATCCAACAAGCAAGCAGTACAGTGCCTCCAAATTATTTCATCCCTGATAGAAAATGTGAATTGCAGAAGAGCCACAAGCCTCATTAGGGAAAGCCATAAATCCCTTATAGTGTCTAACTGACCCTAAATTGGCAGCCTGGCCTTGCACAAGCCTTATCAACTGGTCACTCCCTGGACTGGGAGAGAGACTGTTTGTGGAGCCCACCTGTCTCCTTTAGTGCTACAGATACCTCACCCACCTGTCTGAGAAAAAGAGACCTTCGAGGACACCAAACCTGGGCACTAATTCAACTCCCCACAAAGTGCAGCTGTGTCTCACAACTTTTGTATAAAACCCCCCCCACCCCCCCCCCCACCGTTTCTTTGTCTACTTGTAGAAGCTTGGTCCCTGTGGTCAGCCTCTACCTCTCACTGGATCTTCTTCGAATAAAGGAAGATATATCCCTTGCCTGTTGCAGGTCTGGCTCTGTTTTCTTATATCCTACTTCTCTATCTTTCCTTTTATTCTCCAAAAATCTAACAATCCCAAGTTAGAATCAATGCTTTCAACATACAATGGAGGTATTTTTTTTCTTCTTCTTTGCACTTCAAAGCAAGCATAAATGTCTCATAGCAAAAATCTCTTTAGAATACTATTTAGGGCTGCTCTGGGTCAGATGTGACTGACATTTTGATTAAAATGTTAAAGAATGAAAAGCAGGGCTGGAGAAATGGCTCAGCAGTTAAGAGCACTGGCTGCTATTCCAGAGGACCTGGGTTCGATTCCCAGCACCCACATGGCAGCTGACAACCTCTGTAACTCCAGTTCCAGGGGATCCTACATCCTCTTCTGACCTGCATGGGTGCACTTAAATACATGCAGGCAATATGCTTATACACATAAAATAAAAATATTTTCAAAAAAGAATGAAAAGCAGAAAACAGAATACAATATTCTTTAAATCAATTCTGGTCCCAGGTTTAATCAACTTTTGTTGGAAACCTCTGAAACTTAAAAATAGAGAAGCAAATGGATTGTGGTTCATTCTACTTAGAGCCCACATTCCACATATATTAGTAAGTCTATTAGGAAAGTGCTATGTTTTTAAATTCAAAGAGTCATAGTTCTGTTTTAAAGTCAACTTTAACCCTCACACCAAAATCATATTCATAGAATCTTTATACTTAAAACCAATTTCAGAAAAAATTAATTTTGCTTTTTTTTCGGTCTTTTTGAGACAGGGTCTCCCTGTAGCCCCAGCTGTCCTGGAACTCACTATGTAGACCAGGCTGGCTTTGAACTCACAGAGATCCACCTGCCTCTACCTCCCGAGTGCTGGGATTAAAGGCGTGCGCCACCACGCCCGGCTAGAAAAAATTAATTTTGAAATCAAAGCTGTGGTAGGGAGAAGATACTATTTCTTTTCATTTAAATACAGTGCTAGAAGATTGTCTAATAAGGGCCTTACTTTCTAGTTGCATACAAGATCTGGTGGTGGTGGTGATGGCAATGTGTGTGTGTGTGTGTGTGTGTGTGTGTGTGTGTGCGCGCGCGCGCGCGCGCGCTTGCACGCACTAGTGGACCTGTCAGTTCACTATTACCCCAAGGTTTACATCAGCATGCTTCATTGAAAACAAGGAGGTATAAAAGAGGTAACCAGCAAGCCCATTTGGAATGACTGAGCCACACAGAGAAGTAATGCAAAGAGCAGCGGTGTCAGCACCAGCAGATCTAAACCCCCACCAAAGGTCCACTGACCTTTTGATGACCTGTGACTTCGTTCCGGCTTCTCCCCAGCTCCTCGACAAGTTTGACGTTTTCTTCTTGCAATGCTGAAAGCTGCTGGGACTTCTGCTCTGCTGCCTGCTTTAGGGTTTCTCTGCAAGGACAGTGAGTGCGGGTTACCATAGAAACAAGACAGGCAAGGAAACTGTGGGAGACAACCAGCTTCAGAGTACTGAGGAAAATAGATCTGGGTCACGTGCCCAATAAGATCTATAAAACAGGAGACTGTGTTAGCTACATACAGAAGGGTCACATGGCTTTAACCTCTCAAAGATGATGGCTGCCCACAATTACAACATTTTTAAGACCCTAACAAACAACCGTCTCTACCCTTTAACCACCTACACCTCACACAAAAAGGAATTTTGCCATAAAACAGATGACAAAAGATGGTCGATATAGTTTTGTGTTTAGGAAATTTTCTATCAGATAATTATCCTAAAGCCCACTATGCTGATAAATTGATTTAATTTACTGCCAAGGCGCTCTTTAAGAGGCATAGATCTTTTAATCCATTTTCTCTGGCAGAAATAAAAATCCACTTGATCCATTACCAGAGTCCATCAGGTGCTGCTGTAAATCTGAGTAATTTTTAGGACAACTAGGGGTGAAATGCTCAAAGGAAACTGCTTTCTAATAGCAGGCATTTTATTTTGATGATAGCATTCTATAATGTTAGTTTCTAATTAAACGAAGCAAATAAAAACATAATACAGCCTGCTAACTAACTTGAGTCATAAATATCATAGAAAATATGAACAGGGAAGACATATTTACTTGACATCTCATTAAAATTAATACAAAATACACATTCGAAATTATTAGGCTTTACATATGGATATTCAAAATATTTTTACTTAATCACTGGATTCTAGTTTTATGTCATAGAAGGTTTTGAAGCAATTTTGAATTTTAAGTAAGTCCACGCTGGCTAAACTCTACTTAGCACGCTGTCATACATGGCTAGATTCTCAATCTAGTCATCTGGGTATGAATCCATCTGCTGATGCATGAATTCATCTATTTTTAACTTAATTGTCTAATGGGTGACAGTGCCTAGCATCTTCAATTTTCTTGATTTTCAATTCTCTACCCACCAGTAATATGTATTCTATGATGACCTCATGAAGATTTGGGGGAATAAATTTACACAAAAATTATTTTAGCTAAATTAGGCTTTTTACAGAGATGTGTATTTAACAAGTGCAAAAAAGCCGAGAAGGAAAATTTGTGGATTGGTTTTCATTGTCTATCTATCAATTCATCTATCCACCCACCCACGAAGATATGTACATATACATATACATGTATATACACAACACAGTTTAAGTTCATGTTTGGCTAACATTCATCCATCCTTGACAAATCAGAAGATCTTACGATGAAACCCACCGTAAACTAAGCACTGTATTTCCTAGGTGTCAGTACCTTCATAGAGACTTTTTTGTTTTTTATCTTATTTATTGACACAGGGTCTTTCTATGTAGCCCAAGCTGGCCTTGAACTTTCAATACTCCTGCTGGCCCCCAGGGTGCTCGGATTATAGGTGTGTGCCACTGTGCCTGACCCTCACAGGGGCAACTAAAACTCAGTATTTATGTGGCCAGTCTATCAATAGTGATATTTGTGCTCCTTTTCTATCACATTTTCTGGGGGGCTCTTTTTAGACACTGTCTCTCTGTAGCCCCAGCTGGCCTGGACTTGCTATGTATGTAGACCAGGCTGGCCTTGATCTCACAAAGATTGGTCTGCCTCTGCCTCCTGAGTGCTATGACTAGGTCACATGACGTTTGTGACCATGCCTGGCCTCTTCTATAACTTTTAATAATTTTCACCTCAACTCTCACATACAAAATTTTGGTTTTACAAAGTTTTTTAAAATCCCAGTTTAAGAGCATACAGTGGGCCGGGGTGTGGCTCAGGAACACAGCACTTGCCTAGCATATACAAGGCCTGGGTTTGGTCCCAGTGAAAAAAGAAATAAAAGACTGTAATAAGGAACCAAAGTTATTTAAAAATGGCAATGGGGCCAGTGGAATGGCTTAGCAGGTAAAGCACTTTCCATGCAAGCCTGACAACAAGAGCTTGATCCCTGAAACCTATGTGCAGGAAGGAGAGAACCAGCTCCACAGAGTAGTCTGACTTCCACATAACCACAGTGGCCAATGTGTGCCCCCAAATATTAATGAATTAATTTAATTAAAAATAAGGCCGGGCATGATGGCACACACCTTTAATACCAGGCAGAGGCAGGCGGATCCCTGTGAGTTCAAGGCCAGTCTGGTCTACATAGTGAGTTCCAGGACAGCTGGGGCTACAGGGAGACCCTGTCCCTGTTTCAAAAGACCAAAAATAATAAATACCCCAAATGTCTTATAGTATTGGCCTACATTTAATGTTTTTTTAAAATTTACAATGCATATTTTAAAATTAGAAAACTGAACTCTGGGGCTGGTTAAGAGCACTGGCTATTCTTGTGCAGGACCCAAACTGTTCAGGTCTGGTTACCAGCACCCACATGGTATCTGTAACTCTAGTTCCAGGAGATCAATGTCCTCTTCTGACCTCCAATGGCACTGCATGACATGGGTGCACTTACATACTGCAGGCAATACATACATACACATGAAAAAAAAACCAAAAAACCCTGACACTTGGGTAAGAAAATCAGTAAGCACGGACCCAAAGAATTGGAGCTACAACTAGCTGATGTACTGTGATCATGGTCTAAACACAAGGACCTTTCACCTTGTCTCCAATGGGTAGTGGGACATACATTTCATGGAAAGGGTTCCATTTCCTCTGTTCTAGAGGCCCTCAGGAATGATTCTGAAATCACCTGTGACAACAATTCCAGGGGCTAGAGCTATAGCCCAGTGGTGGAGTGCTTCCCTAGCATGTGTGAGGCCATGTGTTTCATCTCCAGTGGCTGGAACAAACAACAATTTCTAACAACTTTGTGTGTCTAGATTCTTGTGTGTACACAGGTGTGCATGCAAACGTGTGCATGTGGAGGTCAGAGATCAATGGTTGGTATCTTCCTTAATCACTTTCCACCTTACTTTATGAGCCAGGGACTCGCACTGAACCTGGAGCTCAATAATCAGGGTAAGTCCCAGAGATCTTCTGTCAATGCCTACCCAGTGCTGGCATTACAGGTGTGCCCTGGCCACACCCAGCTTTTTACATGGGTGCTAGGGATTTTAAGTCGGGTTCTTTTTTATTTCCTTTTTTTTAATTGAATTTTGTGTATTACATAAATAAAATCATCTTTAGACTCCCATACCCCTACCCCCGCCCCCGGAATTCACACAGTGTCATTTGTGTTGAGGCCTATTATGTAAAGTTAGTGTCCTGAGATGTCCCTCAGTGCAAGTTCATCCACTGAGGGTTAGTCAGCCTATCTACAGTCTCTCTCTTAGAGAAGATCAGCTCTTCCTCACCCAGCAGTAATCAGCTGCCAATAATTCTTCAACTAAGATTGGGGCTTGTTCATTTCCACAGTACTGTGCTGGATTTTTGTCTGCCTAAGTTTGCATGGGTCTTGTGCAAACTGACACCATTGCTGTAGGTTTATATGAGAAGGGTCCCAGGTGTCTGTAGGACTATTTCCGTATGGTCATGCACCTCCTCCCTGGCTCTTACAATCTTTCTACCCCCTCTTCTACCATGGTCCCTGAGCCCTGGGTGGGTGAACCTCAATAAAGGAGTCCTGTTCAAGGACCCACACTCCTCAGACTCTCATTCTCTACGTTTTCGCCATTTGTGGCCTTTTGTGTTCCTGGCCCTCTGTTGCATGAGGGAGCTTCAATGATGAGAATTGGAAGATACATTAGTGTTTTCTTCATCCCTTGTTCTATATTCCATTGAGTCTTAGGTGTAGAGGTTGCATCCTAGATGTACCACTTAAGTTTTGGGCAATTCACAGAGAATCTTATGTGTGTGACCAGTGATGTAACTCTGTAATAATCTCTGTTGAAAAAGAAGTTACACTGATGGGTGGTGACTGGGATACTTATTTATAAGGATTTGGTGCTAGGATCCACAAATGAGGGAGAACATGAAGTCAGGTTCTTATGCTGGTAAATCAAGCACTTTACCAACAAAGCCATCTCCCCGAGTCCCTCTAACAATTAAAAAAAAGATTTATTTTTATTTGTATAAGTGTTTTCCTTGCCTATATGTATACTTAGTATGTGTGCAGTGCCCATGAAGGCCAGAAGGGCAACACAGCTACCATATAGGTGCTGGGAATCAAACCCCAACCCCCGTAAGAACAACAAGTACTCTTAATCTCTGGGCCACCTCTTCAGGTCCATCCTCTAACAATTTTCAAAGGGTACTTTTCTTTTATAGGAGAAAATATCTTCAAACAGAAAAGATTCCACAGTGTTTGGTGTTTTAGAGACAGGGTCTCCCTGTAGCCCCAGCTGGCCCGGAACTCACTATGTAGACCAGGCTGGCCTTGAACTCACAGATTTGGCCTGCCTCTGCCTCCCCAGTGCTAGGATTAAAGGTGTGTAGTACCATACCCGGCCTAAGATTTCACAGTTTTAAACTGGAAGACAAAATAAACATTGTTGATAGGTTTATATTTTACTCATAATTTTGTCATAAATCTATTAATTATCAGGCTAAATATTCTAAAATTTGTATTATGCCAGGTGTGTACAGATAAAAAATTAGACTATTCATATAATTTTCTCTAAGATCTAAAGTTACATACCAATGAGAAATCATTTCACTGTCACTTTCCAGGTGAAAATAGGAGCTGTCCACTCAAAATCAGGGCCTTTCCTAAGACCAGTCTAGTAAGGAGCATGGGAAGAAAAGAACATTGGGGTCACAGACGCTGGCTTCTAGTGGAAAGGGCAGTATTTGATGGGAAGGAGGCTCCTGTTAGAACCCTGCAGCTACTCTGGCACCACTATTCCTCCAAAAGGCACAGTTCTGTCAAGTGAGGACAAACACTACAACAGCTACGGAGGAGGTCATGAAGATCCCTGGGTGCCTGTCAAGCCATGAGAAAGAAAGCAGATGTTCATTCTCCAGCTTGAAGTATTTAGGAATGCAACTAAGGAATGTAAGACAGCC